CTTCCTTCCTTCCTTCCTTCCTTCCTTCCTTCCTTCCTTCCTTCCTTCCTTCCTCTCTTTTCCTCCTTTCCTTCTCTCTTTCATTCCCTCCTTCTTCCCTTCTCTCTCTCTCTCTTTCTTTCTTTCTTTCCCGCCTTCTGTGGGAATAAAGGAGACTGCCGTTTTGTTTTTAATGCTGAGGGAAAGGCATTCTGTGCACGCCCAGAGGTATTTTTCTTCCAGAACTCAGGCCGTGCTGAAAACAAACTCTTAGGCTGTTAGTGAGATCTTTGCGCAAACTCTAGGAGGGGATGGAATGGAATTGGAAGAGAGAGCTGGAATTAGTTGGATTTTAGCATCTGGGGACTAAAATCACTGTGTAAAGTTAGATTCAGGTGGGTAGCCATGTTGGTCTTAAGCAAGAGAATACAGTTTGAGTCCAGTGGCACCTTTAAGACCAACAGAGTTTAATTCTGGGTGTAAGCTTTTGTGTGCATACACACTTCATCAGATACATCGAAAGTTTTCCTCAAGCCTTACACCACCATCTGGAGACTTGGCTCACCTGCCTCCTCTCGAAGAAACCAACTTCTCACATCCCCCCAATTTTTCTTTCCCCCATGAAGCATCCTTTAAGTCTGCTATTTTGTTGTTGTTGTTGTTGTTGTTTATTTCAGGTTAGTAGAAATATTTTAAAAGTCTTTTTGCACTTTAGTACTTTTTGAGAGGGAGAGACTGATGTTTCACTTAATACAATGGGGCTTATTCCCAGGTAACAATTATTCCCAGTTAACAATTATTGTTCTGTTAATAGTAACAGAAGCCAAGTGATTTGTTTTATTATGATATCTTTTTTGGATCAGGGTCATGCCAGGGGGGCACAGATGGAATTTTTGGTCAGGGGTCCATGGTGGCTCTCAGCAGCCCTGTAAGATGGATATAAATGGTAAGCAGCTCTACATTTTATAGTTGCTTTACGGAGAAGCATCTGTAGCTTTGCTGATACTGTTTGCAGCACCATTGACATGGAAGGCTGGAACGTCTAGACAAACTTTAGGATCTTTTTGGGTACCTTAAGGGTATGATCACAGCAAAAGTGATGTCCTTGTTTGATAATGATATTGGTGTCACCTTAAACAAAGGAACAAAATATATATTCATGATGTGTCTAAGGTGTTTTTTCCCCTCCTTTCATTTTAAGGGATACTATGATACTATGGATGCAGGTTACATGGATGAAGATGGCTATGTGTATGTCATGTCACGAGTGGATGATGTGATCAATGTTGCTGGTCATAGAATTTCAGCAGGTGCAATTGAGGAGGTAAGTATAAAAATGCTTATAAAAGTAGTAATGAGAAAAAATATCTGAGAGGGAGAGCTTCACTGAAACATATCCTTTCTTGGGGTCTTCCTAGAAAAGTTTTAAAGTGATGGTGTCAAGAAGATACCAGGTTGTCTACTGCTTCCTTGGACATAAATAGCTATTTTCTGCATTCAGTAATGTGTATAAAACAGGTTTTGTTTCAGAGGGCATTCAGTGATTGGTAAATTGTTTTGACAAATCTAGATGAATTCTTATCTTGTGTATTATTATCTTGCTCATCAATTGTTATATTGTTTTTGTATGTTTGCAACTTGTTGTTTTGTTAGCTGCTTTGAGTCTAAGGAGAAGGCAGGATATAAATATTTTAAATAAATTAATAATACCAATGTATCTAATTCTCAGTATGGCCAAATCTGTGGAAATTTAAATCCAGAGATAGGAGCCAGGGACAGACAAGACAGATTTTTTCCCAAAAATCTGATTTGAAAAGTCTGAAATATAAAAATGAAAACCCCAAAAAGTACATTGGGGATGTTAACCCTCCTGCAAAATAATAGAAGCAGTGCCTGCAGGTTTAAAAAGAGAGCCAGTTTGGTGTAGTGGTTAAGCGCGGGGGCTCTAATCTGGGAGAACCGGGTATGATTCCCCACTCCTCCACTTGCACCTGGCTGGATGACCTTGGGCAAGCCGTAGTTCTGATAAGAGCTGTTCTTGGAAAAAAAGAGCAGTTGCTGTCAGAGCTCTCTCAGCCCCACCCACCTCACAGGGTGTCTGTTGTGGGGAGGGGAAGGGAAAGGAGTTTGTAAGCCGCTCTGAGACACCTTTGGGTTGTGAAGGGCGGGGTATAAATCCAATCTCTTCTTCTTCTTCTAAAAAACATATGCCCTCAGTGGCCATTGATAGGGAATGGAAACAGTATTGTCTACCTTCAGGCTTTGGTTTCTGTCACTAAAAGTCGGGGGGGGGGGGAAGCAGGGCCCTTTCCAGGGCTGTTTTGGCCCTTGAGGGAGGACTTACTAGGACCAGGCGCAACAGCAGTCAGAGTAGTCATCCAGGACTGGCTGCTTGCTACTGTTCAGTAGCAACTTGCCCCCACAAAGTAAATGTGCTGGTTAGAATTTGAAGCTAGGATCTGGGAGACACAGGTTTGAATCCCCACTGTGCTCACTGGGTGACCTTTCGCCAGTTACATATTCTCAGCCTAGCTTACCTATAAGCTGCTTTGGGTTCCCAACTGGGAGAAAGGTGGTGTATAAATGAAACAATAAATGTAGCTGAAGATGGGGGGCACATAAAAGGTACATTGGTTGATAGGTGACGAGAGAAGGAAGCAGGGAAAGGTGAGAATATGGGGGTTCATTATCAGTCTCACAATGTGTCCACCTGCAAACCTTGCCAAAGATTTACCCTCAAAGCCTAAGGCAGAGGTCTGGGAGAAGGCACTTTAGATCAGTATCTGATCCCTCATCTTCTAAAACTGTTGAAAAGCCACCGACAACTGCTTAGTTGGATTCAACATCGTTGACTCTGCTCCCTGGTTCTGCATCTCAAAGGATCCACTTGGGCTCACGCTCATCTCCAGCACAATGTACCTCATCTGAGCTGCTTGCCAAGAAAGCTAAGGCTAAAGGGAAGGATAGACAAAAAGCCTACCTCTCATACTGAGGGCTAGAACTCTGGAAACAATCCCTGCATTGCAAGCCAAACCTGCAACACTCCCAGATCAGAGGCCGTCACCGATCTCCATATCGGAAGGAGAAGTCAAATCCAACTTACCACTGGGTCAACCATTGTTTGAAGTTGAGTCCGAGCTGACAGTTCCGTCGCCCCAGCACCATCCCCAGCCCAAAGGATGTCCCTGGCCCAAAGGATCTCCATTTAGCCTTGACCAGGGCTAGGACTTTTTCTGCCCTTCCCCTGACCTGGTGGAACATTCTCCTGTTGGAGATCAGGGCCCTGTGGGACCTATTACAGTTCTGCAGGACCTGTAAAATGAGCTGTTCTGCTAGGCCTTTGGGTGAAGCTGGGGACATCCAAGTTTTCCATCTATTGACTTCCCCTGCTGAAACCTTCCATCTTCAAACAACCCATCAAGTGAAGACCCATAGTTTGGTCTACGGCCTAGTGGCTCTCATTTTTGTCACTACCATATTAAACCACTGTTGCCATCTGTTTTGTTTATAACTCAGTTTAAATCTGTTTTAATTATTTACTATGGATGATTTTTATGAAGTGTTTTAATTCTTATTGTGAAGTGTTTTAACTTTTGTTGTCATCCGCTCTGAGCCCATTCCCGAGGAGGGTGGAATATAAACAAAAACCAATAAATAGATAAATAAAATCCACCTGTGAGACGGTACCCAACCTGCATGTCCCCGGGATACCTTGGGGAATGGGATGATACTTTCAATCAACACCCAGATTGGAGCGGGTACTACTATTCACATTGCTCATTTTCCTACCTGGCGTTGGCCTCTAGGATTGACAGACCCCTTCTCCCGGAGTCGAGAGAAGAGAGGTGGATCTGATGGTTGACTCCAATGGCTCTGCTTCAGAACCTAGCCCAGATGAAGAAATGGGAGAAGCCTCCTTGGCCTCCCTGACTGAAGACCTGAAAATGTACGGCGAGCAAATGATGTGCATGAAAGAAATGTGCATTTCTTTAGAAACAGAAATAACAACATCTGAACACAAACCCAGAGATAAAATCCTGAGTCAGTTGTACTTCCTGGGCATGATTGCCTTTCCCATCTTAGAAGGGCTGGAGGATATCACACAGGATGTTTGGCAAAAGCCTGCCTCTGTCCAACTCACAGCAAGAAGGACTGAACATCTTTATAGATTGAAAAAGGAGTCCTTCAGTTATTTTACCACACACCCTCCACCATCATTGCTCATGGTAGATGAAATACAACCTAAAGGTCAACAGAATTATCGTGCTGCCCCCACCGGTAGGGAAGGATGCAACTTGGATGGTGTGGGGAAAGAGGTTCTACTTATCCTCTGCCTAAGGATTTAAGATTTCTTACTATGAAGTTATTATGGCTGGATAACAGCTGTTCCTGTGGGAGTGGATGCTGCCCTTCCTGGAGCTATTACCAGAGGGCAAGAGACCCTTGGCAAAACTGTTGCAGACAGAGGCCATAAGACTGTCCAAACAGCAGATCAATGCAGGGAGGCACTCTGCAGATGCAGAAGTCCAGGCCATGGCCAGTGTGATAACCCTCAGAAGGCATGCATAGCTGAGGTTCACAACACTGTCCGATGAGACGAGACTGAAAGTGGAGGACCTACCTTTCAACAGGTCCAAACTGTTATCTTCTAAGACTGATGAGACCCTGACCCTAATAATGAAAAACAGAGACTGCAAAGTCTTGGGGGGGGGTACCCAAATGAGTACACCCCAGTACAAACAGAGACCTTACAACTGTCAGCCTTGACATCCCTACCACCAGGATTATAGATATGCTAACACCCCAGGAACCCAGTAGCCTCCTACTAAAACGTTTGCTTCTCAGCACAGCTACCAGAGGCGTAAGAGCTCAAATAAAGTCCGTTCTCTGAGTCGGCCCCACCATGGGAACCTTCCCAGCCACAAAAATCATTCTGACTAGAACCAATTAAATTTGGTGATAGGCTAGCCAAATTTTGAGAGGCCTGGAGTTCTATTACCTCTGACCAGTGGGTCCTTGATATTGTCTCCTTTGGTTACAAGTTAGAGTTCAAAGTTTTGCCCCCCTTGTTCCTCCCTTATGGTATCGGCCAATAAGGCAACGGATGACCTGTTATGGGCCTTGAGAGCACTCAGAGATAAGGGCGCTATTGAGGAAGTAGACATAGCTCAGTGGCCTAGAGGGTTTTCCTCTAGGTTTTTGGTAGACAAAAAGGATAGCAGGGCTAGGCCCATTTTAGACCGTAGAGAGTAAAATACTTTTCTGCAAGTTTCAAAGTTCTGTATGGTTTCTGTTCAATGTATTTTGCAACTATTAAATTACAATCCTTGGTTCGCTGTTACTGATCTAAAGGAAGCTTATTTCCATATTTTGATTCATTGTGAATACTGCAAATTCCTGTGTTTTTCTTGTGGGGAATGGGGGTTCCAGTATGCTAGTATGGCTCCTAGGATGTTCTCTATGTGCATGGCCCCTGTGGTAGCTCACTTACACTTGCAGGGATGCCATGTGTTTCTTTACCTGGATCAATGGTTGTTGGTGTAAGATACCAGCGAACAACTTTTAAAGCAGTGTTCCGTGGTTTTGGATCTTTGCCAGAGACTGGGGTTGCATGGTAGGAATGAGAGAAAGACCAGCGCCAAACCTGCCCTGTATGACCTGCTCCCGTGGTGGCAAGGAGAGGAGCCCCCCGGCTGGTCTCCAGTGGCAGAGGCCGGGCAGGGGGAGAAAGCAGGGTGCCTCCTCCTCATCATGGGAGCCCGGTTGGCCATGCCCAGGAGGGAGGCATAGTGGGTGGTGGGTGTCCCCGCTCAGCAGCCCTCCCCTCTGACCTCCCGGCAGCAGCAAGGATGGCCGGGGCAGCAGCAGGTGGCATGGAGTCACTGGCTGCTGGGCTGAGGGCAGTGATGGTGGGGGGGAGGGGGAGCCAAGGATTGGGGAGAGGCCCATACAAACTGTGGGGAGGAGTGGGCCCCACGGGCCCCACAGTAGCTATGGGCCTCCTTTGCAGGTTTCCCACTATGCAGTTGGGCCCAGCCTCACCAACACCACACGACTGGGCCTTGTCCAGTGATTGGCATGATACAACTCAGCCAGAGTTTTGCTGGGGAGAGGCTGCAAGGGGTCATTCCTACCATGCAACTTAGCCTGGCTCAGTGTCTGGCACCACAAAAAGTGGGCCATAGTTTCCTTAGGTAATGACTGCCAGGGGAAGGAAGAAGGGAAAGCTAACAATGGGAGGATATAAAAGGTAGGTTGGCTGGTGGGTGGGAAGGAGAGAAAGAAGCAGGAAAAGGGGAGAGGTTATGTGGGCTTTCATGGAAG